CTATGCATATTTCTGTTATGTGTTTATACATATGTTAACTTGTGTATTTATTAATAAATCTCTGAACATTGTTGAGTTCTTGTTTTTGTATCTTACATATCAAGCAGATATATTATATATACATACAAGGGGACCCACTGTAATATCTGTGGTACACTCATCAAACAGAATCCAATCCATTTCCAACTTTTGCCTCCTGGCTTTATTGCCATTAAAAATAAAAATGCTTGCTTACACAAATGACATTGATCTTTCACTTTCAAAGTTATTGCCCTACTGCTGATAGTGGTGCCTCTTTCTGTTTTCTCATTCCGTTGTCTTAGCTTTTTGTTTTTCTATTTACTCAAACAACTTGCTCAAGCCTTCAAAGAAAAGCATCTGTATATGTATTCATGCATGCCATGCAGCTTCCTTACTCTCATTTTACTCTTTCATTCACCCTGTCACCCTCTCATTTTTCTGCTGCTTTGATGTTTGTCATGCCATCAAGCATTCTGTCTACAAGTAAGAGCTATGCTTATTATTTTAAATCTAGCTTTTCCTCCCTTTTTTTTTTTTCATGTAATTTCTCTTACACTTTTTTTTTCCTTTTCAACATCCCACTCTCTCAGTTGGTTTTGTCTCTTATTCCCCCCCTCAACCCTTTCTTAATTTTCCCCTATTTTTTCCTCTCTGTTGCCCTCTTCTGGTTTTGACCCACTCCCTCTTACATTTCTTTCCATTCTCTTCTCTTTGTCCTTTCAGGAATTCACTTTGCTCTTTTTTCCATTTATCTTCAACTTCTCACGGAACTTTGGGCCTGTGTTGCTGCTGTTATTAAAAGTATCTTCATGTCTGCCAATATTGTTCTGTAAGAAACAATGAAGTGAAAATATTGGCATTTGGCCATCACCAAAAGAAAGTGAAGTGCAAAGATTTCTTTTTTCTTAGCTTTCATTTCATTGAAGCTTTAAGAGAAATATAGGAGAAGAATTTACAACACGCACAAACACTTATTTATGTATATTTATCCATTTAGAAGTATGTGTATATATATATATATATATATATATATATATATATATATATATATATATATATATATATATATTATATGTGCAGCTCCATTTTTATTTATATATTTACACATTTGTAACTGGAAAATGTGTTGTGTTTATAAAATTATTAAATTATGTGATTGATTCTCACCCCACCACCACCATCACCAGCTTTTTCCCTCCCAATTCTTGTTGCCAAAAACTTCAGTCATTTTATGCATCTTGTATTTTCTTACTACCTGATATTCTGGAAGAAATTGTAACTACAATAATATAAAAGACAACCATCTTTTTTCTTCTTTTTACGAAAAACTGTTTCAATCATTTCTTTGGTTATTTTAGATTGAAACTTCTGAATTTTATTTGGGGAACTTGCCTCTACTCATTAATGCCATATTCATAAAATATCAGTACTGATTTTCTACATATAAATGTCTATGTATATATTTATTAATGTTGCTGTGTGCCTACATGTTTATGCTGCTATATGTTTAGAATGTGTGTGTGTGTGTGTGTATTTTTTCTCTCCTGTATTCTCAGATTTATTTGAAGATGGAAGAGGAACAAACATTTCCAGAATAATTTGAACCTTAAATGCAAGAAAGAAAAACATGGATTGGATAGCAAGAAGAAATTGATGCAATATTTTAGTTGCTAACTTTTTGGGATTTTCCTACTTTTCACATCCATCTGTGTTTATAAATTTTATATTAATTAAAAACAAACAAACAAATGTATCATCAACTTAATGCACCATATATATATATATATATATATATATATATATAGAGAGAGAGAGAGAGAGTCTGTGAGTACATAGGAATCAATACTGTATAATGGCTGTCAGTTTCACACTTCAGTATGATCTTCAGACCAAGTTTAAAGATTGCATTGAATATATCTTTCTTGTATGCATGTGTATGTTCTCCATAGAGGGACCTTCATATTTTAGTTAAGATAAAAACCTTCCACTACAACCGATAATTTTTACATTCTTCTAATAGAATATTTGTCTTACATCTCATACTTAGTGCCACATGTATATATGGATAAAGCTAATGAATGAAGTGTATGAGCATTGATAGAGATTGGAGGAATTAAAGCATAAAGCATTGCAGTAAAATGCAAAATTTGCATCATATGGAACGAGAGAGAAAGGTAAAATATTAATGAAGACTAAGTTTGTAGTATAAGGATCATGACTTCCTATGAAACAGTTTTATGGAAAAGCTATATTATTGAATGCCATGTGTTATAATGTATTTATAGATAGAGACAAGAAGAGTAGGGACAGGCAAAATGTTTAAAGAGCAGAAGAGTTTTTAGATGTGTGAATGTATAAGCACCAGAAAGGGACATATAATCCAACTGCTACATGAATTATGGTTTAAAATAGATGCAATAATTCAAAGAAGGTATAAGGTTGCAGTATCTGTACTGCTTGCGATTATGTCTTGTTACTGAACAAATTTTGTTGTTGAGCAGAGATTAATAAGTTTTCTAAATCTGCTTGTTTCAGCTGAAATTATTTCACTATTCATTCTAATACAAACAGCAATGTAATTATTAAGGTTATGTGGGTGCTACTGTTACATGAAAAGTGGGATAATCTTGTACAGCAAAGGGTGTAGTGGAGAGTGACAAAGACTCTGTGTATGTGTAAACTGAGGTAAGAAAAAAGTAAGATTCAGTAAATATTTTTTTGCTAATAATATAAACTTACTGCTTTCTGTTTAATGTATTCTTTTCAATTTAGAATTGTTTATAACTTCTTACTGCTCATGAGAAATTTACAGTAGGTGGCTTTGTTCTTCAGAAACAATCACATTTTTTTTATATCTGTCCCATTGACCTAAAGGTTACAAACATTAAAAAACAAGAGTTTAGATATATAAAAAAATGAAATAGTGGATTATTCTTTTTTATGTGCCATGTCCCTTCAAGATGTGGAAGATCATGGCTCTTCACAATTTCCTGTCCCTTGTAAATCTAAGTAATATTTGACTCTTTACCATTCTTTTTTGTCCCCACTCTGCAGTTCCTTCTCACAAAGCAGGGAGAAACATTAAATAACATTCCTGTTACTCAATGTTTTTTTCCTGTCCCTCTTGCCTTCAGTGTGTCCTGTTAGTGTTAAATACACCAAGCCCTCTTTCCTCATTATATGTTCTGGAAATTTCAACTATATCTTTCTGATTGTAAGTGTAAGTACTCTTAGTTCCACTATTTCTTATAACTTGCTTACTCACAATTCATGGTATTTTCTGTTGCTTCAAACATCATCTGTCCAGCATTCACTGCCATATAGGAGACTAGATATGATGTGTCAGTTCATCACTCTTTTCTTTGTTTCTAAGAAAATTTTGATGTTTTTTAATAATTTAATTTTTAGAAGGTGTCTTTTGCTATTCTAATACACCTTCAGATTTCTATGTCACATGTTCTGTCATCTTTTACTGTGCTAAACAAATAGTTAAACATCTTGCATCTCCATTTCATAGCTCATACTTTGAGCCCTCTCTCTCTCTGATGACCATACATTGTCTTACAGTTAATTGTTAGTCCTTTTTTCTTGCTTTCCTTTACTATCTTGTCTAAGAGTTCTTGAAGTTTTTCTTCTCGGTCTTCCATCAACACAGTCATCTGTGCATCTAATATTGTTAAGATTATGTCTGTTGATAATAAGTCTTGGTAGGTCTTCTAGTTCACTTAAAATTGACTTCCTGTAAAGATTAAATAAATCTGGTGAGAAAACATATCCTTGTCTTACTCCTCTTTCTATTTTTGTGTACTTACTGAACCTGTCCTCTATCTACATGCAGGTGGTTTGTTAATCCACAAGTTTCTGTAGTATTGAGAAGTGGAAATAATTTTTTAAAAATTTTTTACTAGTTTCTATACAGAAAACTGAATATTACAGAAAATAGTGAGCATTTAATCCACCAGTAATTGAAATATATTGCCTTAACTGTTTGTTTGGGTCACTTGTGATATCAAGGTTTTATTTATTAAATAAATTGATTCTAATGCTTACATATAGATACACTAGATTTTGATGTTAGCGAAAAATGAAATAATGATCATGATTGCATTTTAGTACTAATTGTATATGTACATAGGTATTTTTTCTATTGCTTTTTACTAAATTAACATTTACTCCATCACTCTCCTTTTAGTCACTTTTCTGCATTGACAAACTAAATATTTATGATGATAGGAAGATAACTTTTCTTGATTAAACATTGATTTTTTTTTATCTAAAATTTATTTTTGCAAGTTTCAAATCTCAGTCTGTATATTTCACCCCCTGCAAAAAATGTCACCAGTAAGAAATTAAAGCAAGTGTTACAACATAATATAGATATAAATAGTAGAATCTAGAGATATTTAGTATTGTTGTGGTAGTTGTATTTAGAATAGGTTTCCATTATTAAGACTATTCATGAATAGATAAAAATAATATTGATATAGATTTAACATTTTAGAATAAACAGTTCATGAAATTAGTGTTTTTGAATAACAAAGTGTAAAAAATTGAACCAAAACTAGTAGTTTGCATGAATACACATAATTTGTCTTTTTAATCAGAGTAAAAATTACAACTTACAGTTTGTTTTTTTGTTTCTTTTAAATTAGTTTTTATGGTTGTTAAAATGTTCAACTGGATTTCTTTTGTGCTGGCTAAAGATTTTGAAAGTGTTTTAAATTTAGTTCATTTTAAGAAAAAAATGAAATGACTTTTTTGAAAATTATCAATAATCTACAGTGTTTTAAATTTTCCCATTTCATACAATAAATGACTTTTTGTCTCTCTTGTTGGATATCAAGAATTTTTTTTTTCTAATTACTTTGGCACTTATGACTTAAATTTACTGTGTTCTTTCTGTGAAGATAAAAATTAAGAAGAAAATAAATAAAACCACAAATACAATTTATCATAACTTTTCCCTTTATCTTTTCCAGTATGGAGAAATAATGTCCAATACTTCCCCAGTTTGAAGTGGCAGTACTTCATATCTGTGCAAGGAGTTCACAATGAGTATCCTGCTAACACATTTGAATGGTCTAAGGACTGCCTCAATGTCCATGATGTCAGGCATAGGTAAGTAAAACCATACCCAGCTTTTTATTTATTTTTAATTTAAAAAAAGACTGTATTTCTTGGTATATATTGTATATCATTTTATTATATAATTTCTCCTTCCAAAAATGTTATTTCAAGAATCTCTTTATACTTCAAAGGTCAGGGTGACTGCTATTCTTATATCTTTTTCTCAAAATGACTGCAAGTTAGAACTGGAGGTCAGTTTTCTATAAAATTTGAAGACAATAAGGAATATATACTAAAACATTCACCTTTTATTTCAATCATTACTTTCAGCTTTCTGGTTTTCCTAATGTGTATTTCATTTTCTATAATCTTCAATTTCAAGTAAAATAAATTACAGTACCAAGGAATTTTTCTCATTGGATCATTGAAGTAGGTTGGAGTGAACATAAAGATACACAAAATGCAACATACATTTGAAGAAGTTTGGAGAACCCACTGGCTGAATTATAGTGATTGAAACAGCAAAACTGACAACATTATTTCAAATAATTGATTAACTCATAATTTATTTTTTAGTTACTGTAGCTGGTTTTTCAATAAATACTGACTTAGTCTCTTTGCTTGTACAATGGTCAAAATATAGGGCATATTTATGTTATAATGACCCTGCAGACATACCTGTGGAGTACAGGTCCATAGTCATATCATACCTGGTGTTGCTGCTGTGGTTTTTGTAGTAAGTAGGTTTTTATAGAGTGGAGTAAATATAGAGTACTATTTATATGCATACATGCCTGTATAGATGCTTGCTTATGTTTAGATTTTGAGCTCTTGTAATAAATTTAATCCCTATCAAGTACCTTGTTCTTATGGCCCTATGCCAGGTTTAGTAAATACTAACTAGATAGGACATTGATCTTATTACTAATAAAAAATAAATTTGTTATTTATGAAGGGCTTTAGAAAAGTAGAAGAATTGGAGTTGGATGTTTAATTTATTTTCTCCACAATTTTGTAAAGAGTATGGTTACTTTTGATTTGCTTGAAAAAATTAGTTATTAGGTTGGTATTGATTTGGCAGTTTACCCTGTTCAACATATAGACAATAAAAAATATAGATAAAGAATCTAATCTTTCCAATCTGTTTCAAACTATTTGGTTACTTTTGAAGGTGTCTTCTCATTGAGTAATTGTTAGCAAACCAGTATTGTTGACATTACTACTTAGTACTGAGTTTGATTGTCAATGTGTTCTCCATACTTCTAGCCTTGTACCAAATTAAGCCTTTTTAAGGAAAGTTGCATTTAGTTGGATTCCTGTGATGGTTTGATCATTTACATAGGATTGTACATAAGCTGGTATAACAATGTAAGGAAAAAGTAGTCTTTTTGTATATTTTGTGAAGAGAAGCAACACATATGAACATGCATACACGCAACAAATTGCACTCTTTGGTACTCAAATATAGGAGTTTATGTACACACCCAAAATTCTCATGATTGGTTAGATCAAAATTTGCATGTCCTGCTGAGTTCTTTAGAGGGCAAAAAACTTGACACTTTCTCATTTTTTTTAATTATGTGGCAGAGAACATAAGCAACCTGTAAGTGACTACTTTTCATTGCTACATATGGCTAAAAATCATACCAAAAACATATTTATTAGTATTCAATGTACTTGTTTTATGAATTTAGAATTTTTCAAATGTTACATATTATTTACTGCATTCAATTACTTTCATACATAGAAATCAATAAAGAATATAACAAATTTAGCAAATAATTTTGATACTTTATGACTAAATAAACTTGTATAGAGAAAGAGAAACATTTTGCTCTTCCATTCAAACAGATCAAAAGTTATCACACAGTCATTTACTTGTCAACATTTCTATTTCTATTCACCTATACATGGTAAATACATAAGTCACAATAGACATTTTGTATGTATGCAAAGCAGTTGCATCATGATACATGTATGGAATCAAGATATGTCTACAATTGATGGTTTTTCAGTTAACATAAAAGTAAACTTTTATTACCCTTAAATATCTTGATAAGGAACTGGTAGTGATCATAATGTGGAAACACTTATGTTTACACCAGCTGATGAAAGGTTTTTCTCCTCAGAGACAGAAATGAGTCCAGCAATGGCTTGCTTGGAATTTTGTCCTAAATTGGGTTCATTTTCATTTTTCTGGTAATTTCAATTAAGTTGTGGCTCTACATTCGTGCATATGTAGGAAAGCAAAAGGTAACAAAAAAAGAAAAAAAGGAAAGAGGGAAGGCATGAGATGTTTTGAGTTAGGGATGGGTGAACATTAGTTTATTGAAGGAAGCTTGTGAGAAAAAAAAAATAAAAAAAGCTTAGGTTTGTCTTTGATGTTTGTTCAAGGCAAACTGAGTTACTTCCCCTTTTTTTCCCCAGCCATAGAGAAAATCAGCACCATTCAGCTGCTGGCGTATTTGAAGGTTACCAGCTTTTTTTTTCTTTTTTTTTTTTGTATAGTGCACTAAGAATCATGTGTGAAGGTACGCCCATCCCCCATTTCTCACAGCACACTTTTTATTTTTTTTTTGCCTACCACTATCAAAGTGACAAAGTTACTGCCATAGTCATTTTAGACAAGGTGTTGTCTGTTTATAGCTGGGCTGCATTTGCATAGCTCTCTTAAAGGAATTTTTTTTTCCGATTTGTTTCTCATTACATTTTATCATCTACACCCCCAACTCTTATTTTACCTCTGCTGTTATCATCTATGTCACAACAGTAACAACAGATTTTTGTGTCTTTGAATTGTCATCAAAGATGTTTAGCATCTGAGAGAAACATTAAATGTGAGAAAAAAAAAAAAGAAGCAAGAGGTGGGGGTGCAAAATAGTTGCAAGGCTGTGTGTGTGTGTGTGTGTCCATTGCGTGTGAGTTTATTTTAATCTATGTGAAACTTTACATGACTGTGTGTCTGTATCTCTGACTGAGGCATTTACCAGTAGAAAAGAAAGAAGAATTTCAAGAAAGACAATTGTCATTTCCACTACAACATGATTACTGATCAGTCTTGTCTGAAGGATGTATGATACACAGACAAGATGTGGAGATTCAGTAGAAATGCAGTAGAGAAGTGAGAGAATGAGCTAAAGTAGGTGGAATGAGTGGGGAGATGAATTGGTACTGGGCAGGGAGGGTGGTGATAAAACTATTAAAATGATGGCATATGAAGTGTATTTTTTCTTTGCCTAACCGGCTCCTTGTATAATCTTGAAACACACATCAAAGCCAAGGTGCTTGTCCTGATTAACTTTTAACAGCCGCCTTTCTGATTCATTTCTGCTGCCATGATGTTTCCACCTCCACCCTTCTACTTCTTCCCAAATATTTCACCTTTCCCACTTTATTTACCCCCATTCACCTACTTGCCTCAGAACACCCCACTTCAGCTTCAGTGGTGAGTGTGTGCATCTATTGGGGGTGGGATCTTGTCTGTGTCTCTGATTATTCGCAACCTTTGTATAACAGTCATGTGTCTTCATTGTGGAAGGCCAAGCTACAGGGATCTGACCACTAAACAGACAGGACATGAAAGAAAAGTTGTGCCTGAATCTTTCTTTCATCTTTCATTTTGGTGGAGTAGGAGCCTGTTCTCTGTCATATTCCTACCTCTTCCAGCACCATCACTAGGTTCAATGTCTTCTGCTCATACTAACTTGTTCTTCTGACCCCTAGAGTAACTTTTGTGGTTCATTTGGTCAATTGACTTCTATTTTGTATCTAGACATAGCAAGCTCTTTCAAACTACCACTATTATTTCTTACACTTGTCATATTTGTAACACACATCAAATGTATATATCCATTTGCATTGTATGTTTAATTGAGAGTAAATGTGACTGCTCTGGTATAAATATTTGTTTGTTAATCATCTACTTCTGCCTGAGTAACGATTAAAATATTTAGTGTGAAGAATCATCTAGTGGATATTTTGGTTGGGGAGAACTTAGTTATGTCAGCATAAATAACTTTAAAAATGAATGCAAGAATCTAGAGTTCCACACCTCACATTTGCTGTAGCCAAAATTTGAATCCCTTATAACAATATTTTGTACTTTTCAATGTAAAAAGATAATTTTTAAGAGGGCTCAAATTTTTCTGCCTGTTAAATACTAAAGGTCATCTTGCAGGTTGTACAGCCAGGTTTTGGGGGCCATTGCTTATATCTGCTGTGATATTTTTAAAAAGTATGAGTACATCTTATTTACAGAAAAATACATTATATAAATATTGGATGTATTTAAGCAGCAATGTTCCATTTATACAAGTTTGGTTAAATTTTCCATTTATTCATGTATGGTTAAATTACTATAGCAAAGAAGGAACTCAATAAATTCTATAAAGAACTCAATGAGACCAAGGACTCACTAAAATAGATCCAACAAAGTACAACCAAATTCAAAACAAACTTGAAACAAAACATACATAACAATAGCAACAATATCAGCAGGATGCAGATTATGTTTAAAATTAAAAGTTCTACACTCAGAATTGGCAGATTAAGTTTAAGGCTCCAAGTACTATCACAGGACAATAGCCTAGTAGATTAATGAGTTGGTTTGTGAATTTGGAGACATTGTAATTATGAGTTCAATTCCTGAGTTAGGTAGTGTAGACTTAGAATCAGTTGAAACAGGGTGAGGAATAACTGAGCAGTACTAAATAAGAACTGAATGATATATCCTTAGACATGGAGAGTGGAATGAGAACAATTTAGATTAAATTTGAATTTCCCTGAAGTTTACCCAGATTTACAAGCACCTGATGAAGGCTAGAGAACACAACAGCTGAAATGTTATGGTAATAATAGTCCAAGTGTAGATAATAAAAATAAACCTGATGAAATCATTGATAAGTAAATAATTTAAAACAATAATGAAGGAAATGACATTACAAACTGCCATATGAAGAAGTGATCCAGATAAAGATTACATGATGCATGAAAGCATAATATTTGAAAAAAATAATTAACTAGCATCACACAAAAAACAGAAAAAAACTCTT